TTCACTTTTATTCAAGTGTAGGTTTTGGATGTCAAACGAGACAAGGATCATCTTTCAGAAATCATTCCAATATGCTGATTTTCTGCTCAATAAATATTTCTTCTAATTATTAATGTTGAAAACGGTTATACAGCTTAATATTTTTGTGTAAACCGTAATACATTTTTTTTCAAGATTCTTTGATGAATAGAAATAAATCTTTTGTATCATTCTAAATGTCTTTACTGTCACTTTACTGTCACATACAAAAAAATATACATTTCTTAAAAAAAAAAAAAAATCTTACTACCCTAAACTTTTAAACAGTATTATACATCAACTCACATTTATTTAAAAAGAAGAAGAAGAAGAAGAAGCAGGATTTGAATTACAACAGTAGTGTTTCTTACCCATTTAAAATGGCAAATTGTGTTTCTGGGCAAAATTGTAATTTTATTTTCTCCCCTTTTAACCCCACATAACCAAATGACCCCAAGATGGCATTGTAGTAATAAAATTTGTCATTTTGTCCAGCCATTTTTGCCCATGAGAAGCAATTTTGCTCTCAATAAACTCAGAAACACACATTTCTTTACTTTTGTAAAAAAAAAAAAAAAAAAATTCTAGCATCTTTTATATCACATGGCTTGATTCCATTCACTTTTATTCAAGTGTAGGTTTTGGATGTCAAACGAGACAAGGATCATTTTCCATGTCCAGCTGTAGCAGTTAAAATAAGTTACCGTGCCTCGAGGTAGGTTGTGAACTCGGGCAGACTTTTCCATCTGGTTTCATGGCCGCTCAGTGAACAGAACATCAGTGTTTCACCATAAACACAAACTTCATGCTCATATGATCAGGGTATGTTTCCTCTGGCCTTTGCCTTCCTCACACTGTCTTAAGGCAATCACAAGACACAAATATCCTTCTGAGCCAGTCTCTCACGAAAATACTATTTCTAGCAAGGCCGCTTGAACTAACACTTTCACTTAGAGTCAAAGCTTGAGATATGCAGAACTTAAGTGGGCTTTAGAGCACTATCAACTGCTCATGTCAGTTCCAGACCACACACTCACTCCTGTGCTGCTAAGAACCTAAATTAGAATCAACCTTGTCTTCACTGTGCCCTTTTCGAGAATTATTCTTGAGACTAATCAGACCCTGGGGATCTAGACCACAGTGCTGAAGGCCTAGAATAGGGTCTATTATGCGTCAATTTGGACTCAAGCCAACACACATGACAAGTGGAGTAAGTGTTTGCTCCACCCATGAGGCCTTAATGAAAAAAGTGCTCTTCAATATGACACAGAACCACCTAACCTTATGTCTGACACGTTTTAAAAGATTTTTTCAAATATTATTTAAATGAATAAGAAGCCAAAGAGCTAATAGACTAGTAAACAGTAAATAAACACCTTACTAGCAGCTGGATTTGTTCAGCTGTGCACCAAGTGACCCTTCGTTAAACTCCGCCCCCCTTGGTTATTGTTGCTTGCTCAGACAAGCTTTACAGAAGGTCCCGTAGGAAAGAATCTGATCTTTTATCTGCTACCTTTCTTTAAAGCAAACACTAGACTACTTAGTAACTGAAAATGCCTAAAAATGAAACTATTTCTTATTTATGTTAATTTATATAATTCAATTTCTGACTAAATTTTCAGATTTTAATTTATAATCTATGTCAATTATTATGTTAATTATTTTTGGTACAGAAAATTGTATTAAGCGTTTCCCTGAACGTTGTACTGCGTAATGGTTTTGTGTGTGATCAATAAAAGTAAAAAATAAAAATAAAGGCAAACAAAGCAAGACGTCTCATTTGAAAGCGATTACAATAACATTAGTGTAAGTGAACAGAACAGTTCTTCTACAGCATACTCCATTCTCATATACTATTTCTTGACCATTTCTGTAAACGAAACACACCAGACTTCCACAGTCTCAGACTTCAAAGAGTAAAAACTTGGCAGAATCCACAGGGATTTGTCATTTTCTTAGCCTGTGTATCCTCAGTCTTGAGATGTTTATATAAAGAAGTGCTGAAATATAAATCTTTGAGTGCTCTACCCTCAAACTGACACAGTAATGCTTGCATGTAACTCTAGAGGATGATGAATTTGGTCCCCACCCACCAGGTGCGCATGGAAAGTCAATATCATGAAGTACAGAATTTTTAAAAGCTTTTGGTACAGTAACATTAACACCACACTGACTCACGAGATCCATTCTGTCCTACGGTACACCAATTTGCAATCAGCTGGCCTTGGCTTTTTGTGTCCGTTTTTCTGATGGTCTTTCCATTTGCATACGCTCTATGGCAGTGGGGTAATATTTCATCAGGTGCAGTTCACATCATAATATTTGCAACCTGCTCACTGTGAAATAAATCAAAAGCATAGGTAAAATGTATGCAAAATTCAGATGACAAAGATGTCCCCCTTCTGTCTTTTAGTTGTCCTAATTTCAAATTAAATCTATGGAAAATGATTCACTTGTGTGTGATGAGATTTGACATTTGACAAGATAAAAACACTTCTCAATAACCCTTATTTCTAATGTCAGTAACAGAACTAATTTCAGCAGACTTTAAAAAAAGAAACAACATTGTCTGTGCGAGCCTATGTCAAAAATCTATAAATAGTCAATAGAAAAAAATGCATATAAATTTAAAAATAAAATGTTAGACTGCAGTGAGCTCTGACATCAGTGAGCTCAGATAGTCGTCTGACATTTGACAAGCATTACTACCTATTGAGAGTCTATAATAAAACTGTCTTGTTCTTCAATTGGTCACATTATACTACCGTTCAAAGACTATAAAACTAAACAAAGGTAGTTAGGGCACAACACATTTATGAGCATCAATAACAATAACATCTCATTGGCTGGCAGACCATATTGTGAAGGCGGTGAATGTGATTGGATGTTTTTTTGACAGTAAACAGCCTGTCTGTGCAAGAGAATGAATTGTGGGTTAATTGGGAGGTGCAGTTTTGCGATAAAGCTCCCTCACCTCGGGTGTGACCCCTGTGATAATGAGCAGTATGACAGAGGTCAGGTCTTCCTTGAACCTCCTTTTATGACAAAAATCTACTAATATCCTGCCTTAAAAAATGGGTTTATCATTCCCAGGTTGTCATCCACTTCTTTATCTTTACTAACAGAGGAAAAAATAAACGACAACATAAGTACTATAGTATCTAGAGCCTGCGTAAATCGGTTATTAAATTATCTTGTAATAACGGAACATCTAGACAGTGGAACAATAAAAGGTTATTTGGTGATTTAAGCACTGTAATGGTTGTATCTGGAAGCAGTCATGTTTAACCAAGACATTCTGTCTGCAGGGTCCTTGACCATCAAAAACAAATCACAAAGGGAACATGAAAACCCCTGTTTTTCCACTCTCCAGCTTATCTTACAAACTTGGGATTTCCCTTATTAACCGACACTTGCATTGATATGAAATGGAATATGTAGAGCTACAAATTCAGATGTACTATCAAGCCAGTGACCAAATTGCAAGCGATCAAATGGGAATAATGAAATCATGCAAACCTAACACTATTGTTATTTCTCCTCCGTTTCTCCTTTATCTGCTTTTTGCTTGAGAGATCAAAGGCGAGGGCTTTAGCATTCCTCTGAATAAGCTTTTAGCTTAACAACACAGGGCAATTTAGATCTCTCGCCGGCCAAGACAAAAGCTTCCATGGATCTGTTAACTGATATTCTAGTGCCTATTGTTGCCCTTGAACCTGATCAATTTGACAGGGCCCAAGAGAATGGACATTGTGATTCCACAAAGCTCTCCCTCAATAACCGTGGGGCTAATCTCCTCGCCTGATACCGTATTAATAACCTTTTAATTAAAACAGAAAGCGACATTGAACAAGGACTAAGCTGCCCCATGCTTGGAAGTATAACCATAATCAATACGTATACTCAAACATACGAAAGGACGTTTGAGGAAAAAAAAAAAGACGCCTGTGTGAAGTGAACAATGTCACAAAAGGCAGAACAAAAATATTTGCTTATCAAAGGATCCGAAAAGATCAAAGCTAAATCAAAGCATCAAAGCATTTATTAGTGTGAAACCTTTGTAATGATAGTTGCACAGACTTTTCAAGGCAGACAGTGGGTTTATAACATCGTCATCACAAACTTGAGTAAGGTTTTTCCTTTTCTTTAACCAATCAAAATAATTTAACCAATTTCAACTTCATTTTTAAGTTCTAAATAAGCTAGACAAAATTTAAAAAAAAAGTTGAAATGTCCTGTACAATTTAATTATACTTAAAAATGTAAGGCAGCAACTGAACTTAAGTTAAGTTGAAGTAGGTAGAATTTTTTAAGATATATATATAATTTTTATAATTTTAATAAAACATTAAAAAAAAATTCTCAAAAAAAATAAAATAATAATAATTGCCTTTACAAACTGCAAAATGCCATCATTTAAATTCCCAAATTTTTTTTTTTGGCTGGATTTAAAGACAGCACAAAATTCAAAAATTTTCATTTAAAATCCCTTCTACATTTATGTCATTTTTTGGGGTAACCCTATACATGTTTCATTTCATTACATGAACTATAATGAAAAATTCTAAAGCACTTATTAATCTTAGTTAATGTACATTCATACACACACACACACACACATATACATATATATACAGTGGGTACGGAAAGTATTCAGACCCCCTTAAATTTTTCACTCTTTGTTACTGTTAGCAAAGATTAATATATACTGTAACAAATGTATTGCTCTTTGTTAATGTTAGTTAATTTATTGTGGACATACTGAGAAGTGCATCTTGTTTCAAACATCAGACTCCTCAAGTTAAATGGTTTGCAAATACAGTTTCATGTTGACTTCAAGACTGAGATTTCATTTGCCACACAATAGACCTCACAATAGAAAAACAGGTGAATGAAAAAGGAAACTGCATGATTTATAGCCAGGAAAGGTGAAATGCTCTGATAAAGATGTGGGTGCTTCAGTTTGAGTCTGCAAAACCTGCTTAGGAAAGCTGCTTGTCTGTCCTCAGCCGTGCCTGGCATGCAGGGGTCACGACCTGGTCATGAATCGCTTCAATCAGCTCCTGGCTGGGACGGGAGGGGAGGGGAGCGCTTTTGATCTCGGTTGACTAGTCAAGCAGCATGGGTAAGATAACCCTCAGCCTCTCCTGCAGGTCAGGCTCTGTGGGAGCGGGGCTGAGGGCAGGTCAAGAGCACTGTTCTATTTTCCCTCTTCACTTCCATTCTGAGCTCCCGTAGCTTCCAGTATCGCCTCAGACATGTTGGGTTAGAAGAATGCTCTCATATGAGGTGGATGATTTGGAAAGCATCCAATTATGGATCTAGACCAGAGGTGTCAAACTCAGCTCCTGGAGGGCCATTGTCCTGCAGAGTTCAGCTCCAACACACCTGCCTGGAAGTTTCTAGCACTTCTAAATAGCTTGATTCGCTGGATCAGGTGTTTAATTAGGGTTGACGCTAAACTCTGCAGGACAGTGGCCCTAATACTTGGTCAATGTAATGCCCAGGAAAGACCCCATGGAATTGCTTGATGAGGGCATTTGCTACTGTTAATGAAAGCAGGTGGTTTAAGGAGGAGTGGACATTCTTATTCTAACTTGTTTTTGATTGGAAACTGTCAATGCCAATGAGTCAGCAATATTTCAGTCTGTTTTCCATAGAAAGACTGTACATTTTTAAAATTGTGTAAAAAGTTAGATTTGCTAACCTTTATCCTTTGAGAACTTGCATGTAGATAATATTTCATATAAATACACATGCATCATTGTTCAAAAGTTTGGGGATTTTTTTAAGCAATTGATACTTTTATTCAGGAAGGATCCATTAAACTGATCAAAAGTGACAGTAAAGACATTTATTTTATAAAAGATTTCTATTTCAAATAAATGCTATTCTTTTGAATTTTGTATTCATCAAAAGAATCCTGAAAAAAAAATGTATTACAGTTTTCACAAAACAGTAAGTAATACAACATTGTACAATGTTTTCAACATTGATAATAATAAGAAATTATTGTTTTAGAAATTACAGCATTGCCATCACAGGAAAAAATCTATTAAAATATAAAACATTTGCTTAAACATGTATTTAAATAGCAAAATGTTGTAATATATAATATATTATGTAATACATATATATATATATATATATATATATATATATACTTTTTTGACAAAATTACAGCTTGAAATGATGCACAATAAAAATATTCTCTTGCATATATTTTGTTCTACATATCATGTCTCAAACAGTATGTCATCTTAAGAATTTACCAAGGAAATGACACCACAACAGTGATGACTTTTTTATATCCAACAGTAAGGCCATTAAAAGAATAAAAGAAAAATGGTGAACAACTATATTTAACTAGCACCATGTGTGGAATTAACCAAATAAGCTTGGTACTAAATGAACTGAAACAAGCAGCCATCTAGAAAACTGCACAAATCCTTTGTGCTGCAGAGAGATTAATTTAACAGAGTAATGAGAGATTGTGTACCAATATCAATATCGGCACTGCCTTATTTCATACAGAATGTTAAACTTTAATGCATCTGCTCGCCTCCAAATGACAGAAAAGCACAAACGCACAAGAAAACAAACGTGGTTCAGCTATAATGCTGTTACCATATATAAATGTAAGTGGTAACATCAAGATTTTTTTTTTAAACAACAAAAAACTAACAAATAAGTTACCAGTCTTTCTTTGAATTTCTGGGTTGTGAACCACAATGTGACTGCCTGCAACCAGGTGGGGAGTGCTGAAGCCTATGTCATTCATCAGAGTGATGAGATCCCGCCAGTAGAGGGCGCCAGCCATTCCCTCACCTGATAAGAACAAGCACTATTTAAAGCCACCATTCAAATTCACTATTGCATGGATGAGACACAATTTATGTTATTGAGGGGTGCGATTAAATTTCAATGACAACATTTTTGTTTGGAAACAATTGCTTTTGTGTGTGTGTGTGAACCAGGGTTATTATAACAAACTAAATCAATTTGAATTACAGTATTTCAGTATGGAATCCTCACCATACCATATCCAACTGCAGCTTGCACAGTATTTATACATTGCACTGTTCTATACTTCACTACTATACATTGCACTGTTTGTACATTTGTAATTATATGTTCCATCTTATTTATCTATTAATACTTTATTATTTTTCTATTACATCAGAGTGGAAAGCAAAGTAAGAATTTAATTGTACAGGAAAATGTGCATATGACAATAAAGGCTTTGAACTCTGAACTTTAAAGCTAAAACCATAAAAATATTTGAAATAAATGTTAACTGAAATAAAATATTTAAAATATATATTTTATTTCAGCTAGTTGCAAAGGAACTATTGAAAAGGAACGCGAGCGTGTGGCGGCGCTTACTCAGATCCGGCGTGATGACGTCATTACGCCGGATCTGGGTCAGCGCCAGCGCCGCCACACGCTCGCGTCATGATACTGTCGTAGTAGTGACGCAGTAGAGACGAACATATAGAATAAAGTCGTTATTTTGGTTTTCTTTGCGCAAAAAAGTATTCTCGTAGCTTCGTAACTTTACAGTTGAACCACTGATGTCACACGGACTACTTTGTCGATCATCTTGGTACTTTTCTGGACCTTGAACGTGGTAGTTACCTTGCTGTCTATGGGAGGGTCAGAGAGCCCTCAGATTTCATCAAAAATATCTTACATTTTGTTCCGAAGATGAACGAAGGTCTTACGGGTTTGGAACAACACGAGGGTGAGTAATTAATGACAGAATTTTCATTTTTGGGTGAACTAACCCTTTAAGTCGTAACTCCTCATTAACTTTCCTTAATCAGCCCTTATAAAGGAATGAGGCGTGGTCAAAAGTACTAAAATGTATTAAATGAAAAAACGTCAGAAAAGAAAAAGAAATCAAGTTTACCCCACAGAACTGGATCTTCCTTGAAAGAGTCTGGAACTACTTTGCTTGCATACATGTCACTATAGTACAACTCTCCGCCCTCCTATGAGATCATTCACATATGAAACAGTGTTTGCAAAGTGCACAACTTAGTAAAGGTTTTTCTTGCATAAATACAATAATGAGGGGAAATAATCAGTAGGTATGTGATGGAAATATCTCACCTTCAGAACTTTGTAAGCTTCACTTATCACAGTCCTCTTATCTGGGCACAGACATATCACACAATTTGACCTAGAAAAATAATTGGCCTTTTTACTTTCTACTTTTGCTCAGGCAGATTAAAGGTTATATTTTATGGAAAACATCATAAATGGCCTAAGAATGTGCATACACAACTACATCCAAAGAGTTGTTCTGTATCCCTGCATCACTGAGCTTCTCCATGTATCCTTTCACAAACACAGTGTTTGGTTTTGAGTATCCAAACATCTCCTGATGGTACTGGACATATTTTTGCGAGGCAACTATCTAATTTTGGAGCAAACACAAAGGATAAAGGTTGCACTTTCTTTCATATTTTTTGTACACTTTTCAATTATTCTACTTATACAGTGGTTAATACTTATTTACTTGGTTATTTAAGATCATTTAACATTTTTCAGATCTTTTGTTGCTAAACTTTCACAAAATATGTTCAAATCAATCTTTGTACCATCTCGTCCGTCATATCCAGTCCAATGACTCGACCTCTCTCCCCCACCAGTTTGCTGAGGACGTAGCAGTCTCTGCCCGACCCACTGCCCAGATCAAGAACCGTACATCCTTCCAGCTTCTCTGGAATCACCAGACCACAGCCGAAATACCTGCAGATTATATCATTTCATTCACTACTTACACAAATCAGACAAATCTGAAATTATAAATCATAATCTCAATAAAGTTTTACAGTACCTCTTGCAAACATCTGGGTGGACTTGTTTCAGGGCTTCACACGCACTCTTGGGCAGAGGTCTGGAGGGCATGACACATGCAGCATTGGTCTGCAAGTCATCCGAAGTCTCCAGCCGTGAGCCATAATAATTCTGCAAGTAATAGAGAGTGAGCTTTGCATGTTTTGGTGGCCTAAAATAAATGCTAAAGCTCATTTATATAGAAAGCTTATAAGTAAATGCGACCAAAGTAGAACAATCCAATGACGGGACATTACATGCTTGCAGTGTACACTAAGGGATTACGTTTTTGGTAGCTGAAACATTTAAATACATGCTAATGTTTATGAATAATATATGAAATAATGAATAATATTTATAAATATGCAAATATGTTTTATTCCTCTAATCCGAGGGGAAAACTACAGAGTCCAATACTGCTCAATTGGTCATCAAGAATGTAATAACCTAAATAAACAAAAAAAGTCAGGGTCAATCCATCACAAGTGGTCCAATGGAGGTTGCTTGACCTCCTTTGATTTTCCTTACTGCTTAATTTTATTATTAGTAGTATTAGTATTATAACTGACATAAATAAAAATGGTGGTTTACAGTAGTACATAGAGGTTATTTCAGTAGTAACGTTACATAGAAGAAATTTCAAAATTTCGATACTGTATATGGGAATTACATTCATATTTCTTTTAAACAGCCACCATTTAATATTAATACTTTGAAATCTAGTTTAAACAAATATTAATTGAAATTCTTCATTACGAATATGATTCATATTGCACAGAGAAATCTTGAATTTGTGAAAATAAATAAACAAATATCACATGCAACAAATATGTAACGAGGAACATTAGAAACCTTCAGAAGGATAAAGGGCATCAAACTTTTCTGATCATGTGACTGCCATGTAAAAACGTTCACATGAAATCAAAACAATCTGAAATTTCTGTTATGGTGCACAACTATACATAATACATCAACAACTCTTATCAGACCCCTCAACAGCTAAAGTACATTTTGATCACAAGTGTAAACGATGCGATTAACGTAAATGGAAAAATAATATGTCGTCGTCGTTGATAGCGTCGCTATCAGTGAACTTAATGGTGTCAAAGATTGTTGTGACCGCTTACCTTCACGTTTTCATGAACAGCAGAAGACATTCTAAGGGTTTGTACTTTACGCTGAACAGCCAGATTCCGGAGAAAAGTGGTAACGTACTTCATGAATGCAAACCGAGCGGAATGTAGCTGTAGTTTTGTGAACGCCTTCGAGTTTTGTGCTGTTGAGGAAATAAATGACCTAAAAATCTAACGTATTGGTGTGTACTGTACGGAGTAGGCTAAGACAGGCTACATTTTTATTTGTGTCCAACTTCAGGGGTAAAGTCCTTACGACAAACTGTTCCTGCGTATATCATTACTGACCACTAGAGGGCGCAACGCGTCCATTTTCATGGCACACATTTCTGCAATGACCATCACAGGTCTTGTGCCTTTAACATAATTTACTAAATAAGTTAAGTTTAATGACCAATGGGAAGATGTCTGCGCAACATTCTATGTCTATTCGCTGATTCCTTAAAGTATCTTCCAGGCCAATTGTGGAATAATTTACCTTTAGAGTAAGACTGGGAATTTTAAACCTCAGTGATGATTTGTCAAATGTAATGTCCTGGAAAAACATCTGTAATTCTTAAGTGCGTATCTAGAGGAAAGTACGGATGGGGGTGGTAGCAGCTATGTCTTGGCACAGTTAAGAGACAGTAGTGTGAAGAAGAGAACTGACATGCTGTGATGAATACAGACATTGTTGCTCTCCTGTGTGTGTGTGCATGGAACTGGAAAAGTCTTCCCACAGTGTCCTGCTTGACATTAAGCAGAATCAGTCAGCTGTGACCTTGCTCCGCCCTCAGAGTCCTGAGTCTTTTACCAAACAACAGCCTGTACTTTGATTAAAGGGTGGTCCAAGTATGTCTGATTTCATCCTCTTATAAGCAAATATCTGTGGGACGAGTCAGAAAGGCCTTTGTTGTAAAAGACAAGACATTTTCTGTCAGAGAGATGAGTCTCCAATTCATTTCAATGTTTGCATAGTATTTCGACCTTAAAAAAAGCAATAAAATAAATGGTGCACTCTATAAGTGATGCATACAGAATACATAAATAAGGGACAGAACATAGAAATGAACAGAAAAACCTTTAGACCTTTAGATCAGACCGATAGATGGATAGATAGATAGATAGATAGATAGATAGATAGACAGATTCATCCCTGCACTCTCTCTCCTTGTTGTAATCTGGCATTAGTTATATTTTTTAATATTCATGTCGTTTTCATAGGCATAACTGGGTCACATGAAATCTCTTTTCTATTTGATCAAACTTGGAGTAGGCTATGCATGATCTTCATTAAATATTTTATTAAATAAAAAAAAATACACATAAATTAATTTAAACATTATTTTAAAAAATATTTTCCTTATACTTTTTATGTTCATAAATAATTAATAATGATTAATCATGTAAAAAAAATGTAAACATCTCAAACCATTGTTCTCTCTTATTATGCTAATGTAAAGCACTATGAATTACCACTGTGTATGAAGTGTTCTATATAAATGAACTTGCCTACATATGCATAGATCCAGATTATTTCAGGCCTGTTAAATGAATTGTACGCTATTAGCATCCATTCATATGCTTCATATGCATGGCATCCAATTTGATTACTAAGTTACACTGTACCGCAGACTGAGACATCAAAGCCAGTGTTCTCTGTGCGGCATTTCCACCCCCCTCTGTGTCCTCTGACAAACGAATAGTTGTCAAGCTCCAAAACTTGACCTCGGTCTTGGTCCCAGACTTATTTGTTTAATTTCTGTTCCTTTTTTTGTAGTCAAGGCAAGCAAGAGGTTATTGTCAGTTCAAGCCTGACAAACATCTATGCTGGGAAGGGTTCACTGCCAGACTAAAGGTTATGAGAAGTTGAAGGAAAGGGTAATCTTTGGAAGATCAAATAAAGTAGAAGTCAGAGGAGGGGAATGTGTACAGTGTCACATAGTCGGCCTTCTCCTCGGCAAACAAAACCCCACTGTTCCCCTTTTTGTCATACGCACATGCACACTTACAATCTCGGAGGTCTCTTTTAACCTCTGCTGCCCTTTTGAACATGACAGACCATCTAGTTAAAGCAAGCTATTGCAACACAGGTTAGTTATTTCCCTTTCACCACAAGAACAATGTATACCATATAGCATCAGATCCTGCTGTGTTGACTCACTGTGGACGTTCAGATGGATTATTCAATGTGGTGTCTATTAAATGAACAGAAAAACCTTTATACCTTTAGAACAGATGGATAGATTCATCGCTGCACTCTCTCTCCTCGTAGTAATCTGGCATATGTAATGGGAGTTATATTGATATATATATTCATGTCATTTTCATAGGCATAACTGGGTCACATGAAATCTCTTTTATGACTTTTCTGTTTGATCAAACTTGGAATATGCATGATCTCCATCTCTTACACACACACTTTTCCTTGTTATGAATGACAAAATAAGCCACATATTAAAAGATAGTCATCAAGGACATGATATACAGGTGCATCTCAATAAATTAGAATGTCGTGGAAAACTGGTCTGCAAACTCGCCTGACCTGAACCCCATAGAGAATCTATGGGGTATTGTCAAGAGGAAGATGAGAGACACCAGACCCAACAATGCAGATGAGCTGAAGGCCGCTATCAAAGCAACCTGGGCTTCCATTACACCTCAGCAGTGCCACAGGCTGATTGTCTCCATGCCACACCGCACTGATGCAGTAATTCATGCAAAAGGAGGCCCAACCAAGTATTGAGTACATGTACAGTAAATGAACATACTTTCCAGAAGGCCAACAATTCACTAAAAATGTTTTTTTTATTGGTCTTATGAAGTATTCTAATTTGTTGAGATAGTGAATTGGTGGGTTTTTGTGAAATGTGAGCCAAAATCATCACAATTAAAAGAACCAAAGACTTAAACTACTTCAGTCTGTGTGCACAGAATTTATTTAATACACGAGTTTCACAATTTGAGTTGAATTACTGAAATAAATGAACTTTTCCACGACATTCTAATTTATTGAGATGCACCTGTATATTTCATTGCTAAATTCGTAGTAAAGATGTGGGTGCCTCTAGATGCGTACATGCATACTGTGAAGTCCTGTGCTTAAGGTTACAGTGCCTGTTTAAGTGGAGTCTTCAACGATAGGAGCGCATGCATGGGCTGTAAGGGAGCCAAAAAGTCATATTTCATGTGAGGAGTTCAGAGATCCATAAATCACAGGTATGATTTAGAATTTCCCACTTAAGCATAAGGGGCATTAGCTATCATCAGCCAAGCAGAGCCTACTTTTTATGTATTGTTCCACATCAGCGAATTCATGCCAACTGTGCAACTTTCTTTGATCCATCAAAAATGCACGCAAGCTCGTCCAATTACGAGGGAGAGGATCTGTAAAAGAAACTCAGCAGGAATGTGAAGAGTGTCCTCCACTTAATCAGTGGTGCCACTGCTTAACCGACCCTCCCGACAGCACTTTCCAGTTGTTCGGAGGTTTATCATCCCTTCCTTTACAAGCAAAATGATGCTGTTTATTACACTTTTTAACATTCAAAGCACTTTAGATGATGATTTGATCTGCTAGCATACCCTGAAACTCCAAAAGCATTTTTGATTCACTCATGAACAACTCAAACCTGCTTTAGCTCTAAGTTAATCCCATCAGCTCTCACTTCAGCCACCCCCTCACTTTAACACATACACATAAAAGGAGGTGTAGGCCTACATTATATGACCTAGTTTTGAAGGAAAACATAAAAGAAAGCTCATATTCAAAAACAGGCTTGCGTGCTTCTCCCAGCTTTGATTATTAAAACCCCTCGTGCTCTGCTGTCTGTCACCAAAATGTGTCTGCATGTCATTTTTGAGCTTTTAAAAACTTCAGTATTTAGATGCGAGTGAGCAGAAGGTGAGGGAATCGCATTTCTCTCCTCCGTTTCCTGATAAAAGCAACCATGTGGGCCCGAGGCAGGTTGTTCTTTGTTGCAGAGTGTCCCTTTCTTCCAGAATACCTTTTTACAGGCCACTGATCTGTCTTGATGATGGCCCCAGTGATGCACGAGGTCATCTCTGTCCTATCACTTCCTCTCACATCTATGTCACCACAACCGACAGGAATTAAGGTCATGACTCAGGGCAGAGCAGATAAAATTTAGGTCAACAGCAAAGTTTAATCAGCCAAAGACAAGGTTTCCATGAACAAAAACATACTCTTAACAGATTCCTCCTAACTTCCCTTTTGCATGTAAGATCAGTGTTTTTATGTCAAGCACATGTCATACACTACTGGAGACATAAAACAGGAATATAGTGGAATATAGGGGAAAACAACCTTTGCAGGACATAAACGACAGGTTTATTCTGATTGTGCATTTCAGAACTTTATTCGAAATCTGTGCAAGTAAACACCCAAATGAAATTTATTTTTAGAAATAATGATACACAATTATACTCAAATGCATCGCAGTTAGCCTGCATCAAAACAATATTTCAAAACCAATAGAAGTCTTTGAAATGTCAGTGTAATCCATCTTTGTACTGTACAGTACGGAACATGATTGTTTAACCTGTTTGGTTTTCTCCTTGTAAAAAATAAAATTGAGTAAAAACAAAATAAATATCTTCATATGCACATTTGTTTCAAAAGTTTAAACATTTTGCCCAGCAGTCTATTTCTCATGACAAACATACAGATCACATTTTTATGTATTGGGCTCCATGACAAAATATATATACTTAAGACTTTGAATTTCCCCATGTTCAGTAATACATAGGAACCTTCTCATGCATCTGCATGCAACAGGCAGCAGTGTACTCTTAAATATCTGACATAACACAAGATACTGCAGAACAGATTATCACTGCTTAATCAAGAGACACATGCAAAAGAAGGACAAAAATCATCCTCTAGAGTACATATTCACATGGCATTTACTTTGAAGTCTCTTTAAGAAATTTCAAAACTAAAATGCTTTTCATTCATACAAAATAGCTGTTTTTCATAAAGATTATGCTATGTACATAAATATAGTTTATAACGAGTCTTTCAGATTGATGAAAAACAACATGTCAAACGTAAGACTGTAAAACATCACATGAGCAAACATATTTTTGTGGGAATGGCCTTAATACCACAAACACTCCCTTTATTAGATCAATGTGTCCATTAGCATGACAGACAGCTGAGATTGGGCTGATTTGTCTCAAGTCGATGCAACAATCTCTTGCATAATAGAACAAACATCTTCTGGCATGCTAATACCAAGACC